ATTTGTTTTCTTGGTCTAATCTTTATAATAATACTATTAAAAAATTTATATTATCTTTCTACTTAAGTCTTTTAAGTAGCTTTGATTTTTTTTAGTTCAATAAATTTATATAGTTATCCCTTGGATTGTAGGCTTTTGCAGACAAATTTGTCTATATAATTGTATTTTTTTAGCTCTGATCTATTTTTTTAAAATATTAAAATATTTATATAAAATTTGATATAATAATATTTAAAAATAAGCATTACTATTTTGCAATATTTATTTTTAAATTATAAGAAAAAAAAGGTAGGCTGCTTATAGACCAAAAATATTGTAATTTTAAAAAAATTTTTAATAAAATATTTTTTTAGTTTATCTATGTTAAACTTTTTAAATATTAATTTTAAACCTATATTTTTTATATAACTTTTTAGTTTATATTAAATATTACATTTTTAATTATTATAAGTTTAATAATTTATATATAAAAATTAATACTTGTCTTAAGAGCAAAATTTTTTTTTAGTTTCGAAAACATATGAAATTTTAGAAAACTTAAAAAATATTTTAATAATAAACTTTTATGTTATATAATCTTTAAATTTTAATTAATTAAAAATTTTTTAATAAAGTTAAAAAGGTTTCTTATTAAGTTTATAAAGTAAAATTTTAAAAATGATTTTTATTTAGAAAGTATATTGTTAAAATTAATTGTTAAAATTTTATTATAAAACTTAATTTTTTAAAAAAAAATATAGACAAATTTGTATGCAATATAATTTAAGAGATAAAAACATATTTTTGATTTGCACTGTCTAGTATCAGTTTATATCTCTTTATATAACTAAGATTACACAGATGTCCTATGATCTGCCAGTTATATTAGTATAATTATAATTACAGGTATCTTATTCTAACTAATTGACAAAATGCTATTATTATAATACTGATTAAGTATTATATAGATGATTATTTAATAAATTTTTTCTGTTAATAGGTTTTGAACTTACAACCTACTATTTGAAAGTTAACAATCTATCTACTTTACTAAGTTGTTATATCTTAAAAAAGTTTTTAATAAGCAAATAAACAAAAAAAAAACAAGATTAAAAAATAGTTAAATGTTAATTTAAAAAAAAAATAATTAAACAAATACAAAACATACTAAAACTGTTTAAAGATACAAAAAAATTTTTAACTATAATAACCAATAGAGTATAAAATAAATTTTAAAAAAGTATATAAAAAAAAATATAAAACTATTATCTAATAAGAAAAGTTAATAAAAATTAAATAATCATTTAAACAGAAAAAAAACAAACAGAAACACAAAACCAAACAGTAGAAAAAAACAAATAAAAACACAAAACCAAACAGTAAAAATAAACATAATTAAATTAAAGTTTTATTTAAAATAAAAAAAAAATTAAGCTGCTAAAGAAAATAAAGAAATAAAAAAAATAAAAAAAAAGAAATAAAAAAATATAGTTTGATTTAATAAAAAGTTATAAATATAATAAAGTAAACCTATTTTTATATGATCTTTTAGGCTAGTTTAATACAGTTTCTAGATTTGAGTTCACTTTAACTAGTGTAATAAACTACCTTTAGGCACTTATTAAAATAGCTAAAGAATGTTAAGCCAAAAAAATTATTATATTAATACATATTTACATTGATTAAAATTAATTTATTTACACATTAATTTTTTACTAGTTTAGTTGATTATATTATTTAAACTAGTTTAGATTTTTTGTATTATTATATTAGTATTTTCTTATTAAGTTTTTTTTTTACATATATATCATAATAACTTTCAAATTAATTTGTTAGTATTGTTATAATTATATATATAGAAATGCTTATCAGTTTGATATATACATTGCTAATTTGCATATTTTAACAAACATTGTTATATTTTTAAGAATCATTTTACTTTAACAAACAGTTTTATTATTCTTATAAAAGGATAATCTTAGTGTTTATTTTTATTAATATATGTCCAATATCTTATTTATTTATTTATATTTATCTTTGGCAGCCTTGTTATTAACCTTTATTAAGATTTGTATCTACATATTTGTACATTGTATTTGGTAACAATACCATTATCATTATGTTAATAAAAGTTATTGCAATAAACACTTGCTCTTTTTTTTTTAAAAAAAGAATAAAAGTTAAACGCTGCCTAAAGTTAGAGTAAAGGTAAGTTTGGGATAATGGCAAGGAATAATCTTTACCGAAATTTCACAAGAAATTTTTTTAATTAATCTAATCGTGTAATATGATTGACTTTCTATATGCTCGTGTTCAAACACCCAGGTTAAAATTTATTAAAATTAGTATTCATGTGTATTATGATTAAATCTTTACAGAGCAAATAATAAAATTGTCCAAAAAACCATTTTATTTAAAGCACTAAAAATAGATTTATTATGTAGATTTTGAGAAATAAAGACGACTTTTAACAAAACGAACACTTAATCTGAATTTTCTTGATCATGTTATATTACATTAATTTTGAAGTTTTATTTATAGTTTGGAAAATCTGCGTCATAAACCTGACAAACATTTTAAATATACATCTAGTTGATGTTAAAATTTAAAATTTATCCGGTCCCAAGCACCTTCATGTTTTGCTAAGGACCGAACGGGAAATGGTTCATAGCAATTACAAGGACCTTTCATATAACAGTAGTTCTGCCAGTTAAATTTAAATATCTCACGTATATCATTATGTAATTATGCTAATTTACTGTTGGATAAAAAAAAAAAAAATCTAGACCAGATCATGTTGTCTTTGTTTAGGACCATCAAGGATTTGGTCCCTAAGAACTGATTAACAACCTTACGTGCATCAACATTAGTCAATCATCATTGATTATGTAATTCTAAAATTTAAAGGTTATTCGATAATTTTAACTGTCCAGTACCTTGATTTTACCAGTTAATGTGATTAGTTAATTTTTTTTTTTAAAAAAAAAATCTACATGATTACAGGCCAATCCAATAAGTTGAAGAATATAATATGCGAATAAATTGTTTATTGTTATTAAAAATTTTTTTTATTCATCGCACAACCTCCCAAATTCTTTTTTTTTTTTTTTTAATCAGGTGTTCAAAATTTTAAATGAAAAAAAATTTTAATAAGAATTTCTAATTCTGAAACTAGGAAAAAAAAAAAACTATATATTACGTACACATTTCTAATACGTATTATGTATTAATTTGGTTGGATGAATTTTGCACATTTTTCGTGTTTAAAAAAAAAAAAAAAAAAACTTCATTATATCAAGGTTATACAACATATAAACAATATACATTTGTAAGTCGAAGTACAATAAGAGTTTTTTAATGTTTGTTTCTGTCAATTTTTAATGATCGATATCCATTATCACACATGTGGTAAATTTGTTATGATGTTTTTTTTTCAGACGGACATTGCCGTTGTACGTATTCTTAAATGACGTAAACGTAAAATATTTCTTACCAATCGTTGCTAACCCCTGAATAACGATAATACATATATAAAGTCACGTGCATGATATAAAATCCCCTGATAACGATAAGTATCCTACCAAAAACTCATCCCATAGGTGTTCGATCAGAGGGTCAGGGAAGTTGCTTTGTTTAATCCAGCGATCAGTAAATATTGCAGTATGGATTCTGGCATTGTAGTTTTGAAACAAAAAAGCCTTTTATTTCCTTAAATTTCTCAAATAAGGTACAAGACAAATCCTGTAAAATTCTACATAATCCTTTGCCGTCATTCTTCCATTGCATACAATCTGTTGACGTCAGATATGGCGACTCGTTACACAACCCAACTATAAAAGCTATATACTACTGGTGGATGTTTCAATAGGAGTTGATTCTACAACTTGTTTGGTTAAAACATTTAAGGAAGATTTTTCAAAAGTCTTAAGAGGTGACGAACATCATACATATTCATTCAGTTTATACATGTCGTAGAAATTATTTCGCTTTGCCGAAAGTATTTTTGGCAATGATTTTTAATATAAATTTCCGAGTTATTTTTGAAATAACTCAAAACATTTCATATCAAAAATCAATGCCGGCAAAGCAGAAATAGTGTTTCCACGACATGTATAATCTAGTGATGTTACCCAAACCCAAAAGGGACAATTATGGTATTCACCTAATTTGGGATCGGGATCATAATAACGATAACGATAACACGTAATTTACTAACAATAGCAAATATTGCATGAATGCTCTTAATCATACAATCGGAAAGTTTCGTATAATAGTCCCAAATATAGTTTGAAATTGGTTTCCAAATCAATGGGTTTGAATAACTTCATTTTAATGTATATCGATATGTAGCAGTTTTTTTTGTAATACGTAACCACATTGTAGACGGGTTCTTATAGTAGTTACTGGTTTACCATGCACTGATGATTTGGTCACATTATTTAGCAGTAGGTTTTTTTCGTTTCTGTATCATAAAAAAAAAAAACTTTTACGTAGCTAGTAGAAGAAAAAAAATTGAAGGGGTTAAAAATATTTTGTAATCAATGAGTCATAACAGCAGATCTTATACAAATATGAAAATTCCGTGATTTTTTGGTAGGGGAGTGTACGTAGTTATGTAAGTTTAATATTAGATTATATGGTAAATTATTATTATGAAACAAATTGTTTATTGATATTTTTTTTTGTCCCCCCGTATATGAAAAAAAAAATATATTATATACATGGGAAAATTTTAGAACTTTTATTACATAAAATGGTTTATAACAATATATACATGTTTCGCACCAATAAAGCTTAAATGATCTACTACTAAAATGTCTATTATTATTATTAGATAATGTTTTACTTCCGCTACTGCCGCTATTGTATTACTATAAATTACTATACATAATACATGCCAGGAAAAACATAAGTAGCACGTGCAAATCTATGTAATCTATATCGATATTGATACGTATCGACATCGATATAGTTAAGCATATATATTCATCTGAATATTAATCCGGATATTAATCCTGATATTATTCATCCATAAAGTTATCCATAGAATCATCCGAACAATCATCCGTACAATTATCCGAACAATCATCCGAGCAATCATCTGTACAGTCGTCCGTACCGTCGTCCATATAATCATCCATAGAGAAGACAAATTTATCCTGAATCCATTTTAATTTTCTATTAGTTAATCTAATAATTTTTTCAATTTCATTGGTAGCTTCATATAATAAAAAGATGTTTGAATTTTTTGAAGCAAAAATAAATTCATTAAGTGAATTATTTAAAGCTTTTTTAGCAATTGATTCAAACTTTTGAGCACCATTTATAATGATTAATTCCAATATAATGGATTCCAATAAACCATAAGTAGGAAGTCTAAAGTCACAAAATGCTTTTTGATCATAATCTTGAATCTTTCTAGTGATTTGGGCAATTGTAGTACAAGCGGTAAGGCATATTTGAACCGGACCATCTTGGCCTAGTTTTTGTTCTTCAATTGTTGGACCACTTATTCGAGTTAAATAAGGTTGATAAAGTAAAAGTATACATGTATGAAAAAGACTGTTGATGTGTCCTAAACATTTAAAAAATAACGATAAATAAATAAATAAATAAATAATAGCGATAAAAAAAAAAAGATTATTTTCAAGAAAATTACCAGCAAAAATCGAAAAATTAGATAAATTGGTACGACTTGAATCAGCATTTGATAAATATTGACATCGAAGTTCCTCGGGTAATTCTCTTAACCATTTTGTCAATTCTAAACGTATTTGCTTTAATGTGGTTTTTTGATTATTTGTATTAAATAGCCAACTTTCACGAGAAGCTAGAGATTGAGAAGAATAACCAAAATTCCAAATTTGACCAAGTATACGTGATAACTTTATCCATGCTATAAAGAATTGTCTTGTTGAAGTTCCAAATGAAGACAAAGTGGGTAAAGGAACGTTGATATTTATGTCATCAATAACGACAGGTCTGCCAAATATGAAAGATGACCATCTATAATAAATAGTAAAGGTTATTAACATAATTTAGTATATTGTATAAAAAGGTACTAAATAATCAACATAATAAAAATGAAAATAAAAATGAAAATAAAATGAAAATAATAATAATAATAATAATAATTACCTATCATTACAGTAAACAAGGTAAAATATTCTACGTCTTTCTTCATTTTCATCTGGAGGTAAAGTGGGATCATTTCGTTCAAGGCGTAATATATGAGCCATTTGAACTACATATTAAGGCATAAATAAAATTAACCTTTGCAGAAAAATTAACATACAAGTGTGCAGACATTTGGTGAAGTTATAATGTCAATTGACGTAACTCAATGACATTATGATGCCAATAATTGACGCATGCCGTAGTATTTGACTTGTGTCGCGAAATTTGACTTTTGAGTAATATCTGGTAACTTCTAACCTACGTCCGTAACATCAGCCTTTGTTGAGTTCTGTAATCCCCGTAATACTTTATTTATGTTATGTCTTAACAATTGAGATGAAGTATAAAAACTATACTAATAGAAAATACTTGACTCTACACTGTAAAGTGTAAAGTATACTATGTAGTCATTATCGCTGTTATTTTATATAAGTTATTGGGATAAATTCTTGATTGATCAATAATTATATCAAAAAAATATTGTTGTAGCTAAGTTACGGCAAAAGTCAGATATTATGACCTACGTCGTTATAACACTTTTGACGTGATGACACGACGTCTTCAAATGTCTGCATCTATAATAAGTCCGTACGTACATACCTGCCATGCCAAAAAACATTGATTCACTATGAATGCGTGTTATGCTAGTCTCAGCATGCGCTAGAAGTAATAATGTTTGAACAGTTTCCAAGCTCGGATTATTATATTTTGTATCCAATAATTTCTATGTACAAATATCGGAAAACAAAAAAAAAAAAATTTCAAATAAGTCATGAGTAATAAGGTGTTCCAAGGACCAAAAGCATTCCAAAGCTTACCAAAGATGTACACCAAAGAAGATAATATGATAAGATGTGAAATATAAACATACCTTGGCAGCATCGAAAAATACCCCAGCGGGTTTATTCAAAGTTTTTTGAATAGAAGGATCATCAGAATACCTTGTTGATGCCACAGCTAAGATTGCACACATCAACATTTCAAAATTTTCTTTATTATGATAATTCTGTTGAATACTAAATTTTTGGCGATTAACAATGGGAATGAAAACGTTGAAATTGGTAAAATAATCATTTACCAATTGTTTACATAACTCTTTGGATGGAGTGCAAAGAGAAGAAACAGGAGTATTTAAAGGTTTAATGAAAGAGTGTGTAATTTGATTTCGATTTAAATTATTATTAACAAGTTCACCTAAAATATTAGGATAAGTATGATATAAAATAATATTTATCGGTGAAGTTATTTCCGAAGATTTATTAACAAAAAATGGAAGATAGAGAACAATAGAAGATAAAATGTCATCTTCTGAAGAGGATAAATTTTGAGCAGGAGGTTTAGAAGTTACAGTGGATTTATTTAAAAACATCAATTCGACAACTTTTTTAAGTCGTTGCATATCATGACTGGTTAAAGATTCTTGGTTATTGTTGTAAAGTTCAACAGAAGAAACCAAGTTTTCAAGAGAAAGATCCTGTAATTGAGATGGTGGAAACTGTTGAGAATGATGTAGATGTTTATGGTAATTATTTTTTACAAGAGAATCACTTTGGTCCATTTTAATAAATGTACACTAAATTATTTATTAAATAAAACGATTAGATAACGATTAGAGGTGTTGGAATATTTGGCAGGTTTGAAATGTAAAGATGTGTATTTATACGAAATCAAACTTGAACCTTATAAATATAAATGATGTACTAACTTAAATACGGACATGCAGTAATGTATGGAAAGAAATATATATAGTACAGAAAAATTAACAAAATTGTAAATTACATCTTATGTGACAGATTTAATAAACATGTATATTATTAACTTTAAATATAATAAACTGATTAGCGTGACAAACAGAATGCTCACGTTTTAATAATTGAATTATTTTACGTAATTGACATAAATTTTTGGTGTTACCCTCTATGAACTTGCGTAATAAAATGGTCTAGTTTTTTTTTTTTGTACGTAAACATATCCAAACGCAGAAATTGATTACATAATGGTTTTTTTTTGAATACTTAATTCAAGTATAGAATTGGTGCGTTTTGATTTCATAATGCATGAACAATATCATCTATTTTTTTAATAAGTTAGGTTCATGCACATATGTATACAAGGGTTTTGATGGAAGATTGTATAAGTACAGAAGTAAAAAGTCCGATTAAAAATTTCGATCTACATGTTAATTGACTTGCAACATTCTAAATATTTGCGTTACTGTTCCGATTACCTAATTCTTTAATGAAAAATTCCCGATATTCATAATCTAATTTCACCTATATCACATGATATGTCAAAAAGCATATATTTTGTTGTTTCTGTCACTTTAAGAACTTTTCGGAAATAAAATATCTAATTTTGTAGTTTGTCCGTAATTCAAATTCAAAAATTTTAAAAAAATTATGATTGTAATACGAAGCTATCACTGTAGAATGAGTAGAATGAGTAGAATGAGTATCACAGTTAGAAAAATATCACAGTTAGAATGAGTAGAATTTCTGATAATAGGATTTCTTTAAATGTTATCGTTCTCCTCTTTTTAGAACTAAAACTGATCAGATGCAGAGTATCAAATATGAATTCTGAAACTTATTGACCTATCGCACTTATTACTATATATGTATTTATTGTTATTCGTACATAATCTTGTAGTTTTGAAAGTATCTCTACTAATGTTAAGCTTTTCTTTTTAAATAAGTACCTAGTATTAATATTTAAACTTGAAACTTCATATTTGTAATTTTTTAAATAAATATTTCTATTAGATATTCCTAAAGAAATTAAAGAACGCTTTTGCAATACCCAAATTCATAGAAAATTCCTTATAATATATCGCAAAACATCCAATTATTGATAACATCCAATTATTGATAACATCCAAATATTGATAACGTCCAAATATTGATAACGTCCAATTATTAACGTTAATAACATTCAATTATTAATAGCATCCAATTATTAAATGGGTCTCCAACCTTAGCATTAGACATACGTTAAAACTCAAAATATAGTTTATATAAAAAAAAAAAAAATTTAATTTAATTTAAGGAATTTGTATCTCCACGCCCCTACATCTTCGCAAATGATAAATCACGATAACTTGCATGTTTGAGCATGTTTTGACCACATACATATATTATTATTATTCACAAGGGTAAGACAATACCAAAAAGAGTTACGAATACTGATTTCCTATAAAAACACCGTATCTTTTTTTACAAATAATCAACGCCTCTTGTCTCCATTCAATCTTTAAAAAGCAATGATGTTTATTTACGCCAAGCTAGATCACTGTTAATTCTGAAATTAGTTTAGTTATTAATCGGTTTCTATTTTAATTTCATTGGTTAATTTCATCATCACCGGGATTACTACTTTATTCGAAACAATAACATACGTGACATTATCTATTTTTTATGTATTAAATTGTAAAACCAGGACTAATCTTTATTTAAATTTATTAACATTTAGGTCATAAATTAATACATCCGAATATGTACGTACCGATACTGTATTCATACGTATACGTAGTTTGGTCTGCGAAGACGATCATCACCAAAGTGTGATCAGCAATCAAAATTGCAATATCACATGTAACATAAATATTTATTTATTTTTTATATCACTGCGTAGATCCATATTTCTATTACAGTAATTTAAAAAAAGTATCGGAATAGTCTGATTAGAGATAGTCACATGAAGATTGATAAAACTATTCCATCTATTCCGATAGGGTTTTTTTTTTAATATCAACCCGATTTTTTATCTACCCAATAATAGACCAAAAAATCGGGATCAGGGAATAAAAAAATAATAGCATTATATATTTATAAATGGGCAAGGTAATTAATTATTTCGTAAAAAAAATTAAATCACTTTATTCGACAATTTCACATGTTTTGGTTGTAAGTATATATTGTTAGTAAATTGTCGCATAGTGTGATCTGAATTTTTTCAGAATAATTACTTATATTCAACTACCAACTGAATTAATGCTAAACTCTAATGGTTCCAGTGAGAAATCCCACTGAAACAATTTTCTCACTGGAATGAATTTGCCTGATTGGCTAATTAATGTAGATCTAAATGTGATCATTGACCAATCGATTGATTAAAACTAATATAAAATATGCCTCTGGTTCAGTAAATTAATTGGAGATTACCTTATGTTACTACATTTATTTGGTTCAATTTCTAATTCACTAATTAAGCAAGGATTCCTCATATTAATATTACCTGCCTTTTGGTAAATTCATTCATAATTGCTTAATGTTGTGTTATTTGGTTCGTCTTATTTAGATCTACAAGTTATTTACTTGTATCTTGATAAGTATCGCTATGATTATTTAAGGCTATTGAATAGAAAGTAAATGACAGATAAGCAAAATTTGAATGAGATGTGTGACTTATCTAAATAATTTGATTAATAAAATAATTAAATGAAAAATATGATAATAATAGTGTGCAGTATACAGGTGATCATTGTGATAACTTGGCTAGAGTTAATACTTCAATCCGGATTTATATAACCCGGATCTATATAATCCGGATTTATATAATCCGGATTTATTATATCCGAATTTTTTATAGTAAAACCGGATTGAAGTATTAACTTTAAACTCGTGCTTAAAATTTACACTGGGTCCAATTTCTACACTCGAATTGGCCAATCAGAAGTCACTGGGCATATTCAGTTTGAGTTCGTTGTTAAATTGATACTCTTAGGTTACAACAGTTAAATCAGTGTAGTTTTTAAATTTGTTTGGTATTGTAGTGTAGTGTAGTGTATTTGTGTTTGTCAACCGTAAATTAAAAGCTTTGGTTTACTTCATATAGATTTTTTAATGAATTCGGGTTTATTAATAATAATTAATACCGTACTTACTTTAAATTTTTTTTGTGTGTATTTATTAGTTTGTAAGCTTAAATGAATTTTTTCAATTTCTAATATTTTTTAAATTTATGTAACTTTGATTGGTTAATTATCACGGGTATGCACAAAAATTAACCAATCATATAAATGTCTTCTATGAGTAGACAATCCTTATGATTGGTTAATTTTTATAGATCTACCCGTGCATACCCGTGATAATTAACCAATCAAATTACATAATTTTAAAAAATATTAGAAATTGAAAAAATTCATATAAGCTTACAAACTAATAAATACACGTAAAAAAACTTTAAAGTACGGTATTTATTATTATTAATAAACCCGAACTCAATAAAAAATTTACAAGATAGTATAATTTACAGTTAACGAGCAAACCTAAAATAATCTATATATTACAATTCAAGAGTACTAATCTACTAATAAACCTGAGTATTGGGCACGCACAAAAAGCCATATGCTGCCAGATCCAACGAACTAATTCCTATGAAATCTAATATTCAGGACATGAAAAACGGTTATAAAGGGCTCTTTATTAAAACTTATGTCTTTGATTGCCATATGCCTTGATTGTTTTTTTGAAATCTTTTTTGGTTGACTATTTCAAATGCAGAAGTGTATTTAATACTTATGTATAGTTAGTATAGCAATGAGTAGTCAAATATTCGCTTCTAACTTGATTACTTTTGATTATTTTTACTTAGTGAATGTTGATTGGTAGTATTTACGATGGTGTTAGTGAAACGTTACATTCTCAAAAAGTAATTGATTTACATTAGCAAATCATATGATTGTCTGTTATGCTTTGCAGAAATAAGTAAATCCGGTGGCATCTTAATGACAAGGCAAATATTGAAGTGAGGTTTATAGAACAAAATTATTCATTTACAATATCCATTAAATTTAATATACGTAAAAACGGATGACCGGATCCAAGCTCTACTATAGGGTCATATTATATTTTATATAATTTGAAATTTGTTACCACATATTTTTGATTTTGTGTTACCGCAAAAAATCAGGATTTATAAACAAATTATCCAATAAAAAAAATTTTTAATAGACAATAACTTTGACCAATAATTGGGTTAAATACAAAGAACCTTTTTTATATAAATCAATTCAGAATAAGGTTAGAATAATGTTTTATTTAATTGCATTAATACAGTTAATAATAAAAATTCTGTATTTTATCGTTATGATTTATCCGAAGATCTTTTTTTTGTTACACTTAGTCCAATGACCAAGTCAATTTTGTTGACTTGCGCTTGATTAACACATTACCCCTGCAATCACTACAAACATAATCACATTCAAAAAAACAACTGTAAAAGGGAACACGTCACAATTACGTATCCAATAATGATAGTAATGTCACTTTGTTGACAAGCTAAATCAGATTTAATTAAATATAAATCAACATCTTCCCAAAATAACAAAACCTTTCTCAAGTTATTAAAATATTCAAACGTACACGTAAACATCATTCATCATTTCTATTGTATTTAACTGATAAAGTAAATTCAAATATTCCACCACAAAAAACAATAATATTCTTGAAAATATGAGACAAGAGGCACGTCAATATTTTAAGCAAGGCAAATTTCTCGAAGCATTAGAACTTTATGAAGAAATCATCGAAAACCATGTGTATAATGCTGAAGATCTAA